CCAACAGATTTCTAGCAAGGTAAATATATGTTTCATTTAAATTCTATAAAATTTAAGAATTTAATTTTATAGAATGCATTTATAAGAACGGATGCAAAACACACGAAAAAAGAATAGACCTGTACATTTTTAAGTGTGGGTCATGGCATAGCATTAGGGACATATTATCAGTTCTACTGAATGGGAACACATATGAGCTGGGCCTTACTCTCTGGGAAAGAGTTAAGATATTAAAGTCCTGGTTGGGGGCTAAAGGATGAGTACTTGCAGGGAAGGACAGTCTCAGTTTGTTTGTTTTTTCTTAATGTTGGGAGTACTTTGGCAATTTGTTAGGACTTTAAGTATTTGCACATATTTTGAGGTGTACTACAGTGATATCTTACTTGTACAAATAAAGCTTGTCTGAGAGATCAGAGAGAAGGAGCAAGCCACCCCCACACCTTACCTCTATATCGTCTCAGGAGACAAGTGAGTGAGTTCCTGTTTCTCCCTGCTTATATCCTGTTTCTGCCCAGATACCTCACTTCCTGTCTGTCTGTACAGATCTCCAGACCTCTATGGTTAGTTAGTGGCAAGCTTCATTCTCTGACCCTCAGATAGGCTTTATTTGAACAAGCAAGTTATCACCACATGTACCAATTACTTTCATTCACATACCAGTTGTATTGGTTCAGATGTTATACTGATTATTATCTGTTGATGCATTTATCTAATTATTCTTTATCAATAAAAATATCAGGAGTCAGATATGGGGTAGGAACCTGAATGATCAGAGATTCAATAAAGAAGCGACCGTGACCTCCTATCTCTTCCATTCCTCTATCCAAAAGCCCTGAGATCCTCTCTAATCTCCACCTTACCACTTTGTCTTTCTGTCCTCAGTCCTCCAAAACCTCTATGGTTAATTTTAGACAGTTAGTGTCTGGCTCTGCCCTGGGATTCAAAGGAAACTTGTTCGAAGGAAATAAAAATATCACGAAACAATTGTGACCAAGAAACTGCTTCTATAGCATGGTTCTAGGTCAGGGCCCTCAGTGTGGTCTGGATTAGTATACCAAGCTACCTCGGAACTTCTGAAGAATACAAGTCATCAAGCTTGCCTTCTTTCACCCGTGCTTACTGTACAGAAACTCTGATGAGGGGCAGGAGAGATGGTTTGTAGTCCAGTAGTTTGCATTTATACGTTGCTTTTCCATGAAATTCTCATGCTCAGATGTGAGCATGATGGATTAATCGAATGACCTTTACAGTCACTTTCTGATTTAAGAATCATGGAGATTACATCTTAAGGAGTGTGCTCTTGTAATTTAGTATTTGATGACAAGATTCCTTGGAATCTTGGATTTTGAACACTCAGACATCATTTGGCTGGATCCTAGTGAGGCAGCTAGGATTAGGCCTGCTGGCTCTGGCACAGGGCTTTCTACCCTCCCTGCCTGTCTCCACTGCTTGTTATACTGTCTCCACACAGTTCCTTCATGTTTAATTGATTTATTGGTGTGGACATTTGAGTGCCTGAATGCTGAAAGCAGTAGGGAACACATTATGTTCATAAAAATTATTTACATGTTTACCTAATACTTAAGAATAAGTCCCCAAGAAAGGGAATTTATAGTATTTTCTACTAAATGGGCAAAGAAGTGTTTTCTTAAGATACATTCAATGAACTGTAGAGCATTTGTGAGTTAGAGTGAGGGGCATGACAGTCAGGGATGAACTGAAATGGAAGAAGCAGAATGAGGTGGGAAGCCAACACAGACAGCCAAGGGATTCCTCCATTTGGAGGAGGATGCACACAATATTAATTCAGAACTCCAGCTACGTGTTATGTGACATCCGCACACTTCTTTGGTAACAAATATTTTATTCTGTCTGAAAGTTTGTTTTTGTTTATAAAATGTATTTCTCTGCTTTAATTTTTGTCTTCTAAGAATGGTTAGCACAAATAGAGAAAATAAAGTTTGAAAATAACTCAGAGAGGCTGTTTGGTTTTAAAGGGTGCCTTCATCTAAACAGCACGCATGCTAGTAGCTTTTAGTAGAGCACCCATGACAGCTAATTTTGGTACAGAAACTGCAAAAAGAAAATGCAAACAGCATTATCTTTAAGTTAATGGGGGAAAAATAGAATCTTCCTATACACTATCAGGAACAGTCAAAATAATGAGTATATATTTCTACCAAAGCACTGAATGACACTGAGACACTTACACAGGACATACTCAAATAGTTACCCTAAAAAGTCAAGGCCAGAGATAGAAGGAAATCTTGTTTCCAACTTTTACTTGAGTATGAAAGAACTTAGACATTTGATCATCAATCAGAGCAATATGAAATGGTGTGCATCTCTGTGTAATAACATAAAATGATGTGTTGCATAAGTTTTCAGATAAAAAGCCGACCTCTGCACACCCCGTGAGCTCTACCTTGTAGACTGAAGGACTTCTTGCACAGGACGTGACTGCCCCCATGTGGAACAGGTGTGCATCACAATAAGAGCAGACATCTTCACCAGACACAAGAATTTCCTCAGCATTCTCAGAGAGACTTTATTCTAGATCCATTAATTGGATGCTCATTTTTTTTTTTTTTTTTGGTACAAGTAGTTACACACCGATACTGACAAATCAATTAGAAAATGGTAACTATGGAAACATTCATTATCCTCACTACTGGAAAGATGTTCCACAAACCAATAAAGTGTTCTGTAGTCAGTTTGTTTGCGCCATTAGCTCAGCACCCTGCTGGCATGCACTGATTCAGAACCAGTGTTTTAGGACTCCTGGATTCTGGGTGAGCAGCAGGATCTAGTTCTTGCCTCCATTCCACCCCAACCACCTACCACGTGGCTGGCCAGGTACCTTTTACCAAGAACCCTAGCTCTTTCAATGTCTGATCTCAGTTACCTAGAGTCATATCTTTGGAAATGGGACAACCTATTTTCTTCAACTAATGTGCTAATTCCACAATTCGGAAAAATATTAAAACAAATTTCCAGAAAAAGGGGGGTTCATTTTTTGTTTCAGGAGAGAATTGAGTCTTTTATTTTGCCCAATCAGAGCCCTTCAGCAGACATTCATATACATATATATGAACATTTTCCAGAAACATTAAGTTGTAATACATTCTCAGAATACCAGCTTAACGGTATTTATTTACAAAAAATAATTCATTACTTAATATTGAACCTTTTTGCTGTGATGACAGGTTTTTCTTTTCTGTTAAAGTTACAGGAATGGAAAATAACTACAAAGTTGCAAGACATTTTTAGTGTTGGTGATAGTGCTATTTAAAAAAAGAAAAATACACAGATAATTAAAAAAAACTGTGGTTGGAAAGCATATTCCAATAATTATCTTAGAGTTACTGGGCTGAGTGAACATAGAAAGAGAGAATGCATCAGCTGAACAGCATTCATGGAGTTTACATACAGGGAGCAGTCTGGACCAAACACGCTCATCCTCAGTTTGGACAATGCCAGGAAACTAAATCTGTCTTTTTTTTTTTTAAATAAGTTTTTGAAAACACATTTATAATGAACCAATGGTTTAACTAGAAAGTGCCTCCCACCCCCAATTCTAGCTACCATGTTGAACACAGGTCACACCTAACATATCACATTACTATTTACAAAAAAAAAAAAAACAATAATAGCAAAGTCACTATTTTTCATCTTTGCATTACTTCCCATTGCTGTGTTAAGTTTGTTTGAAACTCATTACATTGTCTTTAACTGAAGCAAAGTAGAGATAAAATACAAATGGTAATATTAAAAAAGAAAACCCTTAAAACATCAAAATCCAAAATCACATAAAAGAATTCCACAGTAATTTACCTACACCCGTTTTAAAAGCCTGAGTCAAATGACCTACAACAAATGAATTGACACTATTCATCTACATCTTATAGACAAAAAAATGACTTTAAACTATGTGTCTTGGTGAAAAGTATTGGCAGAAGTACATCCATGCTTCCTCTGAGGGACAGACACAGCACATCCCAAAGCAGCTTTGTAGCTGGCACCTAATTCATGAATGTATTGGGCCAGTGACTTCAGGCCCATAATTGAAGGGAAGTTACTGAAATCATTTACTTTCTCAGGAAAGCTCAGCTCCAATTTGCCCCCTTTGAGAGCCTTCACAGCATCTGAGGCAGACATCAATGATGCCCACAGCACTCTGCAAGTAGACCTGAGAAAGGAGCAAGCCGCTGACAAACCCCAGCAGCCGTATTCATTTCCAAATCAGAAGCACACTTTGGCATCAGTCTCAACCCAGAACAAACGCCCAAAAGAAAAAGACAAAACAGAAAACCAGAAGGGACACTGACTACATAGGAGTATTCTTTTCCAAGTAAATAGCGATTTAAAAGCCTAGGAATATTGATTAAGTATCAAACTGATGAGGAACAAATTTTATAAACTACAAAATAATAAAAAAACCCTTCATTGACAAAAATACGTAAACTCTGTTCCTATTTTTGGAAATTTATTTTTAAAAAAGATAGAAGAAAATATCTGGAAACCATTTTCAATATATATATATTAAAATAATAGCTAAGATAGGCATCCAACAGCAAGCTGAAGCTACAGAGAAAGTTCTAGAAATCATTGTTGTGGACATTCCCTGTCAAAATAAAATCAATATTTGAAAATATTCAGCAGAGGGTTTTTTTGTTTAAAAAAAAACTATATAATTGTATCTTGACATGTGCGGAGACTTTTCAATGATGCATGACTTTTAAAACCCAATTGTATCTCCATATGAGATACCAGTATTTCTTATTATAAGTGTAAAACATAACTTTTTGTATGGATAATATACACACTTTTTAAGTACTTTGACTTAAGTTCACCATTTTAAAATTAAAGGATACATTTATAAAACTTCATCTGAAACTAAAAGTATATTCTCTAGCAGTGTATAAATACAACATGTTACTGCGTGATTGATTGTGAACAACCCTGAAAGTGTCGCAACAAAGACCAAGAACACCAGAACGTACAGCAAATGATTTCACTTGTTTTTAATCTTTAAAAGCTATATAAAACCCTATTAAAGGTTTTAAAATTGATTGGTTTCAGGTGCAGCTAGCAGCATAGTCATGATTTTGGTATGTTTCATACACACATATCACTTAAAGAAAATGCAGACTAAATGACAATAAAAGTCATTACCTAAAAAAATTGCAGAAAAATTCAAGTTTAAAGTTCAGTGCTCTTTATTTTGCAGAAACAAATAAACAAAATCCCCCAAGTTCAAATAAATCTTTGTCACACACACACACACACACACACACACACACACACACACACAAATTACCTTTGGAGATAGCTTTACTAATGTCACATGCGGAATGCCTTGAGCAAAGCATAGAGGATTTGAATATAGGACCCAGAGTGAACTTGCAACAAATCTCCATTGCTCAGTTGTCTCCTAGCATCCCCTTCATCCTAAGCATATGTACACTTTCAGGCTTGTTTCATACACTCAAATGTCTACTGAGCTCACCTCAGAAGAACCAACAAGAAGTTCTAAGTGAATACTTTGTAAAGGGATATTCTTATGAGCCTGCAGTATACTCGCATAGAAAGATAGACGTACACAGCAGTGTTTTTCCATGACAATCTCACATCAAGAAGAACAGGTTTTTGAAATGCATAATCCATTTTTGGAAACACCATAGGACTCCAATGTGAGCTCGTGTTGAGGTGATGCCATTTTTCAGACAGATATAAAGATTTTGACAAAATGAAATATGTTGAATAACAGTATTCTAAGCAAATATGGACTGATTTTGGTTTGCAAAATGAAATGAGTTGGGTATGTGGTACACACAGAGAAATCTCTCCCTGCTAATAGTGTTAATTGCAGACCACGTGAATTTTGAAATCAAAGACAAATGTAACCAGTGCTAAGGGCACAGAAAACACACACACACACCACACACACCACACCACACACACATACACACACACACACAACACACACACACACACACACACACTTACTTTTCATTTTCTGATAATTTTTATCTTGACCTTTTGTTGTTGTTGCTGTTAGATTTCCTGAAATTTTGGCTTGCTGGTGACTACTCATTTTGCATCAAAAAGGACAGGAGTGGGTTGGGGGAGGCAGGCCACCCCTGGGTCTTCGGTACTGCAGACTGTTTTATTTACAGAATCAAGCATAGCTTGGGAAGATCATTTTCTCTATTCAAAAATACTTTCAAATCCTAGACTCCTAGTTTGTTGTGCACAATATGTAGATTAATTAAAAAACAAAACAAATGATTTAAAATAATGAATTAGGATGTTCTTATAAAACCCATCTCTGGTAAACACATCTACTTCTCTATTTGTAAATAGTTACAACTTTAATTCATCTTATTTACAGCAATTAAAATGACGATAGAAAGGAATTTGATACACAAATAATACAGCAAATTAACAGCTCCACACAGAGTCAAGCAGAGTGTCAGGTTACTTCAGTATTTCAACCTTTTAAAATTCTCAACTACTGATATTCATAAAACTATACCTTTAAAAAGGACACAATTCTTCCTATGAGGTATCACAGGACATGGGTTTAGTGGACAATGTATAATGCAAATTAGGCAGTTTGCAAACTGCCAAATGTTCAGAGCACAGACACTAAACAGAAATGTTACTCACTTTCTATGAATTGAGAAACTTTTAAAAATGATTATAGTTATAAAACATTTTCGTCTTGATCAATTCTCCACCACATATATTTAATCCTTACTCAATGCTATTTAAAATAAACTTTGATGTAAACTTTTATATTCAGTAGTGCACATTATAAAATGTAAACAAAAGATTTATTAATGAAAGAGAAACAGGTGAGTGACAGGCTGGGCTGTGAAACTGAAGATGTTTTACAGGGAACTTCACACATCACACGGGAGAGAAAACAAGCAGGCAATGTGTGCCCTGTGTATTTAAGGACAAATGACTCAGTAGAGATTTTCATAGTGGACAATGTATAGAAGACAGGATATAAGTATCATGCTCCCACTCCACTTCTTCCTTTGTGGCTCTAACAATTGCAGTCTCTGACTGTAGTGGAGACGGCTTCCTTTCTGGGCTGTAATGCTACTGCAGGAACCAATCATCCAGTGTCTGCCACTGAAGGCACATCTCTCTTTATAGCAGAAAACATTCAGTTAGGGAAGTGAACATACTCTCCTTTCCTCTTTGCCTTTAGTATTTCAGAAGGGTATGTGCAAATTTGTAATGTATTTCTACGGGACATGTTTTGCAGGACATCAGACTAGACTCCTGGACGATTATTGACCAAAGATGCTTATGGTCTCCCATGCGGCAGCATGTGCACTAAGATTTAACTTTAACTGGCTGGTCATCATCGGAGGGTACTGGAATTGTTAGCAAGTAAAGGGCATTTTAAATGGGATCTGAGCATTTTACTGAAATGGTGAAACATGGTTGTTTTAGCAATTTTAATCAAATAATGCAAGGCCATATTTGGTTAAACATTTTATAAAAAATTCAAGCAAAATTAAAAACGTAGCCAATTTTAACTTTTCTAGAAATTGAACCAGTAACTCTTTAGGTCGAATCTACCTTTAGCTGAATTAATGTGAACAAAGACAAAAGACATTGAAGAATTCTCCTCACCACAATGGAGGGTTTCTTACTTTCCACACCGCATGGCCACTACATGGAGACTCTCAGAAGATGAGCAATTGAGTCATGCGCCACACTTTTCCATGAAAAGTGATGTATCACTTTGTTTTGCTTCTGAAAAAATAGGAACTGAACACAAATATATAGTAACAAGGATTGAACAGGATGCCATACACAGCCATGTGTATGCTCTGATTACTTAAAGCCCACCATTCAGCACAGTCTAAAGTAAAAGCGACAGTTTGTTGCTTTTTCACTAATGATACTGATGACCAGTCTGTCTGGGAGAGGGTGAGTCCAGACAGCTGTTCATAATTCAGTCCCGACACAAATATGACCATTTCAGACTTAGGACTTCTGATTTATTGCCTCTCCCCACATCGGATCAACACTGATGGCAGATACAACGGCACAAAATCTTTTGGCATATGAAAGTTTAATACAGGAATGATCCAAGGAATAGCCCACGGGGACTTCTCAACATCCCTTCATGGTTTTCATCTGTCAATATGATCCCGCTAAGTTCTCTGGTTGTCAGCGCACAGCCAGGACACACCATATGCTCCAGTTCGCACGTGTGTGAGTTCGCAGGTAAAGCCATGTGACTGAGGTAAAACAGTGCCTGGCTGTCCTGGGAAAGAACAGTTTTCAGCAATGTGCTTCCCTTCTGTGCTCTCTCCCCAAACACATCAATGACATCAACAAGGAAACTTCCTTCTCCTTCTGGTGGAAGTTGGTCTTACTGGATTCTGGTTGTCAGAACTGGTACCACTTTTTATCTTTGTATTTCAGCATCATCTAAAAGAGGAAAAAAATCAAGAAAAATACGCTTTTAAAATCCCAGTTACAGGTGGTTGTGAGCTGCCATGTAGGTTCTGGGAACCAAACACAGGGCCTCTGCAAGAGCTGTAAGCATTCTTACTGGCTGAGCCATCTCGGCAGCCCACAAATTAAGTTTTCATAATGCTCTGTATCAGTCAACAAAATACAGTTGTGTGAACGTCATTTAGAAGAGATCCCTACACTTTATGGCATCTGTTTCTGAGGTCAATGAATCCACTATGAAAGCTGTATCACTATCTCTCCATAAGCATTAGTCTACAACACACACAGACTCAACAAGAGACATGATTTTAGTTATTTAGATCTACCTGGAAGAAACCAGGAGACAACTGATTTTCTTCTTAGGTCAAGGTGATTGCAGGCTCTGGTGAGTTAAGGAAGTTGGCATTTTTATTGAGGTCACTGACAAACTGCTTGCAAACCTTCTGTATGACATAGGTCCTAAAGGTGGGCATATTCCTTCAAAATGTAGACATTTCGGGAGAGGTCAGAAATTACTGCCACATCCTTTAATGGCTCCCCCTCTTGTGGTAAAAATCGGAACTTGCAATTTTACAAAATACATGCTTGTAGAAATAACAAACATACAATATGCAGTCATTTTCATATTGGCTGTATCTAGTTCTTTGGGTTACTGTCTGCATGTCAGGCATACCTCATGAGCATGTTTAGAAAATGAATCTGCACTGGATAACATAGCTGCAGTTCTCTCTTCCAAGTCACCAAGCTTCTGTCCTCTTTCATCCAGGGCCAACCTGGCTCTGGCCAGTTCTCCCACAACTCCAGATGCAGCCCCCTTCACGCCTTCAATCCCACCAGGACCCGGGATGTGCTGTGCAAGGCTCCTCGAGGCCCTTCCTGAGGATGATTCTCCAACTGGAATGTTTTAATAATGGAAAAAAATTAAGTAAAAATCCCACTACTTGGCAGCATTGAAATAAAATTTTTGAATCATGTGGCAGCACAGTTAGAATATTAATATTTAACTTTATAACATACCTTTATTGTTTTGCTTTAAATTATTTCTAAATGCTTTTCCAAATATGCAAAACCACAATGTACCACAATAAACATTCTATTCTTTCCCAGTTTATAAAGCAGAAATTAGGGGAAATAAGGGATAGCTAGGCATAGTAGAAAGAAGTAGGTACACTTGATGCGGGATGTCCTTCTGCATATATGTTTCTCTTATTGGTTGATGAATAAAACACTGATTGGCTGAATGGCTAGGCAGGACATATAGGCAGGGCTAGGAGATGAGAATTCTTGGAAGCATAGGCAGACAGAGTCACCATGTAAGCCACCAAGGGAGTACAAACAGTTCCAGACCCTTCTAGGGTAAAATAAGACCACGTGGAAATACTTACACTAATAGAAATGGGTTAATAATTAAGGCAGAGCTAGCCAATAATAAGGCCAAGCCAACAGCCAACAGTTTTATAACTAATATAGTGTCCATGTGTTCATTTGGGATAAAGAGCGGCAGGACCAGCCAAGACAAAGAACCTCTTGTTACATACACTGATGCAGATTTTGTAACTAAAATTGCTTTTTGAGTTGTTAACATTATAGTTTATGAATTTTGAGCTTTTAACTTGAAGCATAAAGATTTAAGTTTTAATTTTTACATTTGATTTATTGTTCTTATTCCACATTTACTTATAAAAATACTATTTCCATTTGGTAGCCCAGATTTGTAGACATTCTTTCTTTGTTTCCATTAATGTTTTTCAGATTCATAAAATCACACTTTTTCTTTAAATGGCTTGCTTGCCTCTCCCCTCCCATACCAAGATCCCAGCTCTCTAATTCCCTGATCACAGCAAGTCTTAGGTCCCTGAGATTAGACCCCAGTAATACACCCTTAAGCTTCTCTGCTCACATTTCTTTTCCTGAACCCAAAGTAAGGACCCCTCACAGACTGCCCAATCCTAGAACACATCTTCATTACTTACAAAGAAGCTAATGATCTGTGAGCAACACTTTCTACTCTTCCTGTCTTACTCGTGGTCATTACTCCACTCTTTCTCTAAATATCTGTCCATTGTAAACATTCTCTCTCTCTCTCTCTCTCTCTCTCTCTCTCTCTCTCTCTCTCTCTCTCTCT